TCGCTAACCTTGAGCATAGTATAACGCGTTTTGGGGACGACCATTCGAAACCCCAACAATGTGGTTGGGGCTACTCTATGCTGTCCTTGCTATTGGAGCCCGATTTCAAGCCGGCGGTATGGACAATGTTGCGCGAGGAGCACCTTCCACTACGGGCGACTCTCTGCATACTGCACGCATGGACTTTTACCGGGAAAAGGTCGTGCAAGCCATGATCCTCGCAAACTACACGAAGTGTCCGCCATATACCGTTGAGACGTCTCTGCTCTACTTTGGATCTGAGTTCGCGAGATCATCAGATACGCAATTCAGTATGTGGGTCCTTGTCGGAATGATCGTCCGTATGGCATTTCGCATGGGCTATCATCGAGATCCATCACGCTTTGCGAACATTTCGCCTTTTGAAGGCGAGCTACGGCGAAGAGCATGGCTGGTGGTTTTATCGATCGACCTTGTATCATCTGCACAGGTTGGCTTGCCCAGGATGATTCAAACGTTCATGTATGACACACAGGAACCACGGAACGTCGAAGAAGACGATTTATACGAAGATATGACCGAGCTACCCACATCGCGTCCGGAAGCCGAATTGACGCCTACGCTGTACACTATAGTAATGACCCGTGTCAGGACCGCGCACGCCAGGGTGATGGACCTACATAACGCCACGTCGCAGCCACCCTATCGCGAGATCATGAATCTGGATGCAGTACTGCGCCATGTATACGACAAGATACCTGAGTCATCCAAAGCAATGCCTGCGGAGGATTTCGATCTTGCTGTGAACTCGACATCAATACGACGCCTCTATTTGGGTCTTTCTTTCTTGAAAGCTGAACTTAGCCTGCATCGTCCCTATGTCCTACTCGGAAGAACAGACATCAAATATGAGTATTCGCGAAGAGTTTGCCTCAACGCGGCGGCAGAGATGCTCGAATTCCAGCAAAGACTTGATGCCGAGATTCGACCAGGCGGCAAGCTTTGGGCGTATGTATTGTTCCATGACATTCTACGTGATGCTAGTCCACTAATGTTCGACTGTGCAGGCCGGGCTGGCAAATCTTTACCATGAGTTGGTACATGTCTTCACTTGTCGCGCAGGATTTCCTGCTGGCTACCACTGTCCTCATACTCGACCTTAATGGGGAGCTGGCGTCTCCTCTTCCACCAGTACCCTCAAGCGCAACGAGCGGCTTGAGGCTCGACCGCAGCCCTCCATCTCGACAAGAAATCATTGAGATTCTCCGTGGAACGCAAGAAATATGGCACAAGGCGAGCAAGAGGTCGCACGAGGCACGCAAAGTTGCAGAAGCAGTCAGATTGGTTCTGAACAAAGCAGACATGGAACACCAACTTGTCGCAGATTGTTCACATGGTCAGTCAGGTCATTGCCGTTGCTCAAAACGGGTATCTTTCAGCGCGTCACTAACACGTATGGCAATAGCACATTCAATCCCGGGGCAATCGAGTTTCGTATCGCCCGCACCCTCCTTCGACTTGGATGACTTCGCTGCGGAAGCATCAAACCCCAATTTCTTTGGCAATAGCATCTACACTAATCCTTTCGCCACGAGCGACATGCCTATGGATCTGGGATCGTATCCAGAAACTTTCAATTGGGTGCGTCATCTTACATGCCGCAGATCAAGCCCATACTAATCTAGCCTAGGAATCTGTGCCTATAGAGAACCAACTGTACTCATACGAGCAAGTCTCTCAGCGGCCACCGTTCTGACGGGGTGTGCTTGGAATGCACAAATCGACTCGACGACTTGGACTGGAGACAGACACATACTGCCATGGTTCCAACAGATTTATCGCGCACTAAAAGGTGGTAGTGCGTCCAATATTTCTGATGATATGCTGTAGTTGCGGCAGCGTAGCCTCAACTAATGCCAAGGACGACGGTGTTATGTGCTGTTACTGAGCTGTTATGACGTACAGTAAAGACAATGGGCCTGAAGGCACGAGCAAATGATCAAAAAGAGATAGTTGATCTGAGAATGGGCGCGTCTGTGTATGCTGGAGCGACGCTTATTACATGGGTGAGCATGCCGCCGTTGTGTAAAGAAGACCATATTGTTCAGGTGTGTGCTTAGGCAGGCAAGCTGGACACAGAATTGACCAGAGAGCTTCTTGTAGTCGACATTACACTCGTTGTGAGCATTGACCTCTTCACCTGAGAGTCGGTTGATTATATGGTAATCCTCCGTTCCGCCTCAATCACTCCGTCTACATCTACAGAAGCATATGTCCCCAAACACTCCACAAATCACCACAAGATATTGTCCTTCTCATGACTATGTATTCAAATCGGTTTGGAAGAATCGATGACATCAAGTACCAAGGGTTCGGACATAAATCGCCCGAGGACGTAGCTCGGGATGTGGAGATACGAAATCTCACCCTGTCCTGGCTGAAGGTGGCTTGGTTCGACCCCACAAAACTTCGACCACCTGTGAACGACTTGCTGATTCCAGCGATAATATGTGGGGTAGTATCATGGGGTGCAGAAGTCGCAGCTCGGCTGCAGCGTATGGCTGCATTTACTGATGCAGCGACGAATCATGACCATTCATCTCCTTTCAGGTCCTGCTGATCGTAATTAAGCCAAGCAGTGCAACTATGTGAGCAGGACGTGACCATAGGGGCCACGTTTTCTGTCATGTCCTAGCAGGACGGCGTGCAGTTCTGAAGGTGCGAGAATGTGACAGGCAGAAGATATAAAGGCAATACGTGGGACCTTCTACATTGGACATACGGGTTATCACTCTGATATCCGCTGAACAACATATCACAGTTCGTTCGCCATGATTACAGCACCTCATTTGCTCACTGCTTCCCTTACTCTCTTGCAGCTTCTGCCCACCTGATTCGCTGATCCGATCGAGCATCGCCAACCGAACTATCTGGATTGGAAGACTTTCAAGGCCAACGGGGTCAATCTTGGCGGCTAGCTACTTCAAGAGGCTGTGATTGATCCGACATGGTGGAGCCAGAATTGTGGCAACACAGTGGTCGAATGGAGCTGCTGCGCCCCAACTTCGTGCTCAGTGCGGACCTGTCCATAAGCGGCGATATGCTACTTATATTCAAACTTCTGGCATTGCAAAGGTAGCTGCTGCTGGTATCAGTACGTGATGTTATATGAAGTGGAGATGAGACATACACCGATTTCGCAACTTGTGGTTAAACAGATGTGCTCCGCATCCCTACGACGTATGCAGCTTGGGTCAAAGTTCCAGGTTCGCAGCTCTACTCAGGCGAACAAGCATCCTTCTTGAAGAACCTCGCGTCTTACGCTGTCTCCAGATATAAGATGCATATCATCCTTGACATCCACAGTCTTCCAGGTGGCCTCAACGGTCTAGGTCTTGGAGGCAGAGAGAATATTACGACTCGTTAAACAATCAGACCAACTACGACCACTCCTTGAAGGCCGTCGATGCTGCTCTCCAATTTATCAAAAATCCAACATCGCCACAGTTCTACACACTCGAGCCACTCAATAAGCCCGTGGACAATTGCGACTTCACTACGTTTGGTACACCCGCTGCATTGACTGAAAATAGAGCAGCCTGGACGTTACGCTACATTCAAGACGTCCTTGCCTAGACCAAGGCTACAAGCCCCAATACCCCCGTCATGTTCCAAGGAAGCTTCAAGGGCGAAGCATATTAGTCGCCGAAGTTTCCGGCCGGCACAAATCTCGTCTCGATGTACATGCATACTACTTCGCAGGATGGCTCATCGATTCGGATAACGTCTCTGCACACATCTGTTCTGACGCGAAAGCGGCCGCTGGCGATGGCAAATTTCCCGTCTTTGTCGGTAAGTGGTCCAGTCAGACCGTTTCGGACAACAAGTTTGCAAACCGCGGGAAGAATCTGAACACTGGCTTGTTTGTGTTCGCAAAGCATACACATGGAAGTGCATTCTGGACTGCCAAGGTCTTCGGCAACGTTTCAGTGGACGGCGAAGGAATGCAGGGTTATTATTGGAATGATGGAACGTTCATTGCTGTGGGTCTGATCAAGCCTGCCACCGGGCAGCAGTTTTGCAACTGAGGTGCCACAAAAATCAGTCGGAAGGAGAGTCGAGTTGAGTATTGAGCTGAAAGCGGAAGACCGTCCTACGCGACCGTTCAATTCCGACTGAGCCGAACACGATATGTGCGTAGCCAAGCAGCTGATATGATAATGTTTCACATGGAATATGCCTGAATATGTCCTTGCCATATTACAATGTAAGCGCTTTCGGACAGGCTCATGCTCTTATGACACACAAGCTTATACATCCACTAAGAAGCATTTTCTACAGTAGCATACATCTAGGGAAGTAAAAATAACATGGAAGAACGTGAAGGATCATGACTAACTTCAAGGCGACAATCCCCTTAAAACCATATTTCATGAGACCGTGTGTAGCTACAGAGATCTTTGTTAGCTGTTATTCGTACTGAACATTGCTTGTCACCACGGCGGACGAATCCGAAGGCGCACCGCCAGCTTCTGCCGGCGTCCGTAAGAGATACGGTGCCATGTGGGCAACAGAAAAGTTGGAGGATATCCAGCAGTAGGACGATCAACTCACGAAGTGTCAATTATGACCCATCCTCTGATCGCACCTGCAAGCGGTCCCTCTTCTCCTCGATGACGTTGAGTAGTTCTACCAGAAGCAGGAGAGTTTGACTACTAGGCGGAGAGTCAAACTTTCGACGGAATTACAGAACTTTAGAAGCGTTATATGGCATATTGGCGTTATGGGCTCAGCAGAGGCAAATTCTAGGGGAAGACCAAAGGTATTTGCCGACACGTATCGAGGCTGGACGTTCGAACATTGCTGGTCAATTCACATGACGAAGACAAGTATGCATTCGTCTGTTGGAAGTTGACGTTCGTGAAAGGCTTCGGTCCCATTTTGCATCACAGGCTCAACCTCTCTACCATCAACTCCTGGACGCAAAGATTAATTCAGTGACTATAAAATAGCAAAAAGAATGGACTCGCGGGGAATCGAACCCCGGACCACTCCCACTCTCGATCTTGAGATGCTAAGGGAGTATTATACCACTAAACCACAAGCCCAATGAGTTGATGTAGAATCAATCGTGTGACAGTTGAAGAAGAATGTAAATATATATAGCAGAATTACAACAGTGGCAGCAGTTGATGACATGAAAGCCAAGCGAAGTATGCTAGAAGCAGAGTCCCTCTGGTTGGGTGGACAAGAGTTGAAGAGGATGAAGATTTTTCGCACCATGCATGCTACGCACAGACCATGACTCCAGAACGACTGACAGCCCCACACCTGAAATGCCGCGAATACTTATTCACGCGTAAAGCAAGTGCAACATGTTCCAACGATTCACACAGCTTTTCTGAAATTGCGCTCTCGCGGAATTTGATAAATGAAAGTGGGAACGGGGTGCAGAGCACAACATCGGCACCACAACACTCAAGCAACACGACCGGATCTTATATAAAGTTTCGGTGTCGTGAAGGTACCCGGCCCTTAGTCTATTCGAAGATTGGATCGGCCAACTTCAAGACTTGTTGTGCTGTTGAACTGGAAAGCCTAGGCTTATCTGTGACCTTTCAAGCTTGGCAAGAGGTCGTAGTACATCAATATCTCCCTAGGTGCAATTCGCCAAGTAGCGCTGTTGGCTAAAGTCGGACAGCATCACTTGATTACAAACAAAGAGAATAAACGACTTCGCCCATAGTGTTTGCTTGCCTCTGGTTTCGATCGGAAGAACGAGCATGCTGAAGAATGCAGCGATGAATAGACCTCCAGACGCATAAGTTGGAGCCTTTGGGTTAGAGCTTCCAGCTTGGATGGCAACAATTGGCGCACACAATCCGGCGACACGGTTCAAGAAACTCGACATGCCGGTTCCCGTACCACGAATAGGAGCTGGGAAGACTTCTGGAGTGTACGCGTACAGCGGCGTACTGGTTGAAACGATCAGCATATTGGACTAGAAAGTCATCAGGAGAGCACTTACTAGCACGCTATACATTACGTTCTGAAAGAATGCCTAAAGGCACGTGAAAGCCAATTGGAAGGAGGAGTCTGAGGAAATTGTGAAAATAAACACGAACACTCCCGTGATCACTGTCGCAACAGACATCGTGCCCTTCCGGCCAATGTACTTTATGTCGACGGTCCAGCAGGCGATCAGCGATCCGGGGACACCCACGATGGCAGTGATGGCATAGTTGCGATAAACTGTGCTTGTGTCGTTCTGGACGCCGCCTCCCGAGTTGGCTAAGTTTTGTGGTAGGAAAGCATTAAACAAGGGATAAGCCATGCCGATGGTTGTCCCTAAATGTTGCTAGTCAGTGAATATGCATCATCTCCAGCATAGTAGAACACCACTTACTTTGGAACCACAGTAGGCAAGTTGTGAGTCCAAGCTTCTTGTCCTCGAAAAGAGCGCCAAATTGCTTCATTGAGAAACGGCTGAGCGAGCGCTTGATGATCTGAAACATGCCGAGCTTGACGTCCTCCCTAGTAGCCTCGGGATCACCGCCGACATAGTTCATGATGTCCTCCGTCAGCCAAGTCATGGTCTTGTTGTAGTGTGCAATGTCATACACCGTAGCCACAGCCTCAGATTGTCGACCGCAGGAGAGCAAGAATTTGGGTGACTCATAGAAGTGGAAGAGGAAGAAACGGCAGATGAACACCGCGAATGTGATCGCCCCAAGCGTCAAGATGAGATAGCGCCAGCCCCAATTATCTGCTTTCGTGCATGATGCACCCGATGCACATGAAAAATTGGGAATGAATGCCCATGCAACTACTGTAATCAGTCTGCCTGCCTAGAATTATTCGAAGGCAAAGGATATTCGGCTGGGTCAAAAAGTTATTCGGTTGGGTCAAAATTTAAGCTCAACGCTAGTTCTGCAGTTCACTTTCTAGCGCAAAATCCCGAAATCCTGAGCTGCATCTGAAGTTTCGTGAGAGCTTTTGCTATTCTTACCGAAATGGAGCTATGTTTCTGATATTCCTAAAGCGATTGCCCACATTACCCAAATTCTCTATCCTTCACCCACCACCTACACAACGCTACAACCACATATTCATATCACTTGAAACTTAAAATACACTGTTGCATATACCTATACAGTCTTCAACTCAGTTCTTAACTTTTTTGGTAGTGTGGTTGTGGAGCTACGTTATGGTGTTGTGAAAACACCACAAGGAAGATGATAATTGCTAAATCTCAACACCACCACCGCTTACGGTTTCTTGTTTCCCTTCGTTAGAGGAGCCTTACTACGAGTTCCATACGTTGACTTGATGCCCTAGTGACGTTTTAGGGTAGGAGGAGCGTCGAATTCTTCATCAGAACTGCGAATTTCCTCCTCTTCTTCATCAGAACTCTCCTCGTCACTAGAAGAGATGTTAATGATCTCCTTATCTACCTTCTTCTGCAGTGTAACCATCTGTTGTTGCAAGCCACCTATATCCTCGCGCAGTACTCGTTGTAACAAGGTTATCATGCTGCTGTCAAGAGAAGGCGGTACGCGAGTTTCTACTACCTCCTCTTCCTCAGTGATCATTGTAGTGACCTCACGCCTCTTGAATTGCTTCTTCTGGGCAGGCTGAGACGTAGGAGTAGCTGCTGGTGATGCTGTACGAGCCTCTGCTTGCTGTGAAGCAGTGTACTCCTATCCTGATGGGTCTCGCGCTTCATTTGGGAGGCGATTACTATTCTTAGGCTTAGGCAATTTCTTCGTAGTACTACCCTTTAGCTGACCTTTAACTTGATCTTTTGCGGGTCAAGAGGCTGAAAGACCTGCGTGTCAACATTGTATATGTATGGCATGCCCTTCGCACGTGGTGGATCAAGAAGCCAGTGTTGGTCAACCTGTGAGAGCTTCACATAGTACACGGCCTTATCGTTATTCCTAGCAGCCCGCAATTGGTGTACTTTGTCATGCAAGAAATGCTTGCAAGGCAAGCCCTACTTGTCCGTAAATGCGCTAGTGCATGCCTCGCCCTCATTGTACTCATCTAACATAGCTAAGGTAAGCTGCTGCTTGAGTTTCTGAAGTGCTTTGTATGAGACTACTCGCTTCAAGAGGTCGAACTCTGCACTGTTTGCACCAGTAGGAACAGCTGTAGAGCACGCTCTAGGTGTTGCTTCATACTTATTAAGCTGCGCAGCTATCATAAAATGGATGTCTTTAACTACATATAGCAGATAGCTAAGGGACTTGAAGGTGAGCCTGACCTTAATCCGATAATGAGCACCCTCAACCCAAGATGTTACACGTATGCCAAAGTCTAGTAGATAGCGACAAAAGCATTCTGCCCACTCCTAAAAGTGTGGCAATTGCTCCTTTTCAATGTAAGAAAGCAGTGACAGGAATGCCTCGTACTTCCTAATCATGTTCATCCAGTCACCCTAGAACATCTCCTCAGTGGGCTGTTGCACAAGCTGGTCCCATCTACGCATGAAAGTAGTGCGGTTCTCATTGAGTTCAGCCTTCTGCTCATTACTGTGATGCTTCTGGACGTCCCAGGCGAGCATGGCCTGATTCTGGACGTTCTGGTTGATATGCCAGGTGCACCGACGCTGTACAACCTCAGGCCAACAAGCAGTGAGAGCGGCCTTAAGAGCATTGTCGTCATTGGTAACAAAGCACTTTGGCGTGATCTCAAGGTACTAGAAGAACTGGTACATAGTACCAATATGCCAGGCGTAATGCGCAGTGTCTTCGCCACCTATGAAACTGAAGCAAAGATCTTAGTTTGTATGGTGGCAAGTAAGGCTAACAACATGCAACAGCAGCATATTAAAGCGGTTGTTCTTGTAGGTTGCATCGATCTGCATAACGTTAGGGTTCTCCTTAGCTATCTTGAAGGCAGCTAGGTGTGAAAAAAAGAGGTTCTAGACGTAGTTCTCGCTATCGTAATCTACCTTGTACCAGTACTTTGATGCCTGGCTGTCATCGTCCTTAGTGATCTGAAACTTCTTAAGGTGCTTAACGAGAGCTTTGATCATGCTGCGCCCTCCAAGCTCAGCTATCTAGAGCTTAGAGATCTCGTTCTTAACATTAGAGAGCTATAGGTTCTCACCTGTCATAATAAGAGAGTCGAGGATCTTCAATGCAGTATCATTCTGCCGCTAATGAGATTCTATACTTAACCGCACAATATGATTGCACTAACGCTGCTAAGCAATGGCAAGATAACCCTAGGCGCAATTGTGATTGTGATAAGGCACTTCCACTTATAGAACTATCTAAGCTGTGCTAGATCTGAGTTGACGCTGAAGGTACACTTAGCCTTCTATTCACAGCTAGTTATCTTTGATGTAACCCGCTTGCGTGTACCACCGCTAGTCTGCTTGTAATTGCGACCACAAGCACAGCGCAGGTAAAAGGAAGAAACTCTACCCTCTGGCTTCTTCTTGGTAGGCTTGACCTTGTTAATGTTAGAAATGCTGCAGGCAAAGCCTTGGTGGAGGTAGAATCGATTCACAGCGTCCTTTATCTCATGCTGATTGTGTATACTAAAGAATTCTGGTGATTTTAGGTCGTTGATAGGTACCTATCAATTGGTAGGGCGCTTTGGGTTTGAACTCCCCTGGGAAGTCGTTGAAATCGGCTATTTTGGGTAGGCTGAGAAGGCTCATAGTGGGGAGCGCATTTAGCAAAATCTCATACCTGTTCTGAGTTTGTTGTACCGTGGGCGTCGGCGTGACGAGCCACGCGGGGTAACGACCACCCCAACATTATAACACGAAATCAGCACCAACTTCAGCACACGTTATCTCTACCAATATAGAACCAATTGACAAGGCGATTAAAGCAATGAAATAGCAAGAACTAGGAGAAGAATTATCGTTTAGAAAGTGCGCTGATGCGTTCAAAGTTAACAGAACTACGCTGACGCAAAGATGCAAGAGCATTCAGGCTCCAAAGGCAGTCAAGAATACCTCCCAACAGAAACTCACTCTACAACAAGAGGCAGAGCTTGTAGAGTATATTGAAGGGCTAACAAAGAGAGCGCTTCCTCCTACATGTGAAATGATACGCAGATTTGCTGCTGCGATCGCTCAAGAGTATGT